GGCCGCGGCCATCGGGCGGCGGGAAGCCGATTTGAATCGGGCCGCGCCCCCGGTCGCGCGGATCGCAGGCGCGCTCGCCGGCAACGCCAGTCGCGGGAGAAGCCGAATAAGATTCGAGAAGGCACCGCGAGGGGCCCGCAGAAGCCCCACGAGGGCCCCCAGAAGGCCCAGATGGCCCAGAATACTTCCCATTGGTGCTCTCTCGGGGTCCTCTTGGGGCCCTCTTTGGGCCTCTTGGGGCCAGGCGTTTTTCGGGCGCCCCCTTGTGGCCTTCTTATGGCCAGAGGGCCCGAATAGCTCCATTTATCGATATCTCTATAAATACGTGTGTGTATGTGCGCACACGCGTGCACACATATATATATATATATATATATATATATATATATATATATGTGCGTGCATCTATATAAACCAAAATATCGGAACACGAAACATGCGGCACTTAACAGATAATCAGGCACATTCCTTGGATCCGCCCGTGTTTTGCAGGGCCCCGTAGTCTCTGGACATCGGCGAAACAGTGCTCGCTTTACATATATATATATAAAGAGAGATACATATGTAGATGCGTACGTGTGTGCACATGTGCACACACATACATATAACACAAGTAAACAACGCACAATGAAACTATGCTATCATATGCCGCATACCGCATATGCAGGCGTTCCCCATACTATGATACATGCACCGCGCCTGCGCGCCGTAGGGTACGAACAAGCGACTTTATATCAAATCGCGATGATCGGTCGATCGCTATCGTCACCAGATGCCGCGGCGCGATGGGCCCCCGACTGGGGAAGTGCACGCTCGGCGTCCGAGGGGCCGCGCTCTGCCAAGAACCGCAGCTGCTCGCGCAGCGAGACCTTCCCCCATGCAGACATGCACTTCGACTGCTGCTCTCTGATCTCCCGCTCTGTGGCCTCAGGGTGATCGGCCAGCCATTGCGCCAACAACATGTTGCCATAGCTGACGTGGACCCTGCTGCCGCTGCCTGCCGACCTCGACTTCGCAGTGGCCGCAATAGGAACCCCGCGCCGCACAAGGTCGGCCCGCTTCTCGTGGCCCCGGCGATCCTGGAAGCCGACCTGGAGATACCTCTGCTGGAACTGAGTGAGGGCCCCCGCGTACGCGACTCGCTCTGCGACAGGGCGTCTCACTTGGGATGGCGCCGACTTGGTAATCAAGTTCAGCAGGCGCTCCAGACCCATGTTTGTGGCGCCCGCTCGCCTACTCATGCCGCATGCTGCAGCCTCGAAGGCGGCGAAATCCACGCTGGCCTCTCGCATGGGCCGGGAAAACCCCCAGTCCAAGCAACATTTCGGACGGCGCGAGAAGTCGTGCCACAAGGCCCCGCGATCCAAATCAGAGCATTTGGGGTCAGACAGCCTGGAGAACACCAGAGGGGGCTCAGTCATGGGGATCACAACCCGCGACCAGACAATAGCGCTGATCGACATCACCCGAACGAAGGCTGCCCGTTGAAATACAACACAGTCGACTCCAGGCTCAGGGGCAAAGTGGTGGACCAGGCGCGACAGCGGGATGAAGGTACCAGGACCTGATCTGCATGGCACGGCCAGCTGCGGCCTCATCGATGGCCGATCTCGAATTTTGCTGCCTGCCGCAGCCGCAATAATCATATGAAAATTGCGGCCACGATGGATCGTGCTAATGCCGCCGACCAGGCGAAGAGTCGACGATGCAATCGTGCGACCAGCGACCATGCCGCACGGCGGTCGCATGATCGCATCGCCGAATGTTGGCGAGGTCCATTCGGCATTCCACCAGACGAGCACCGAACGACGAAGGACGATGATGGATTTTGCGAGCCACGACCCACTCTGCGAACAGACACTAAGTCCAGGGCTCGACATTGCACGGTCGAACAGCTCCTTCTGGCAAACTGCGACGCACCCATCTTCGCGGGCAGCGTCTTCCAACGCATGGCCAGATTCATCGAGATGTTGAAGTGTTGCGTCCAACTTATCCACGGGCTCCGCTCCCCAGAAGGCCGCTGTGATGTCCTGCCAGTGCTGCGGGTCCGTGAGGCTACTCTTGGCTTTGTTGACTTTCATGGCACACGATCGTCTGAGCTCATCTTCGTCGTTCTCATCCAACTGCTCGATCGTCCCGACAGCCAACTGGGGCAAAATGCCGCACAACAATGTCAAGCCCACCTGCGGGATCATCGCAGGCTCCGCCGTGTACCACTTGGAGGTGGATGGCAAAGTCGTGGACAACGAATCGACGAACGTCTCCGTGACGGCAGCCACCTGGCCGGCGCGATTGCAAGAGGAAACGAGCCCCGGAAGCCAGCGACGGGAGATTGCAGGCCTCGGGAACCACGGTTCGAATCTTGCGACGGGGGCCCGAGAGGGCCCAGGCCGAGGGGGAGAGAGAGAGAGAGAGAGAGAGAGAGAGAGAGAGAGAGAGAGAAAGAAAAAAAAATGAAAGAGAGAGAGAGAGAGAGAGAGAGAGAGAGAGAGAGAGAGAGACAGAGACAGAGGACAGAGACAGAGACAGAGACAGACAGGAGACAGGGAGACAGAGAGACAGATAGACAGAGAGACAGAGAGAGAGAGAGAGAGAGAGAGAGAGAGAGAGAGAGGAGGAGGGGAAGGGGGGGAGAGAGGGAGGCAGAGAGACACAGGGAGACAGAGACAGAGGGGGTGAGAGAGAGGGAGAGAGAGAGAGAGAGAGAGAGAGAGAGATGTGAAAAAGGGCAGAGAGAAGCAGGGATAGGGAGAGGAGGAGAGTCAAGCGCGGGGCGGGGAAGGGAAGGGGGGAGGGGGAAATCGGGATATATATATATATAGGGAGAGAGAGAGAGAGAGAGAGAGAGAAAAAAAGAAAGAGAGAGAGAGAGAGAGAAATAAAGAGAAAGAGAGGGAGAGAGAGAGAGAGAGAGAGAGAGAGAGAGAGAGAGAGAGAGAGAGAGAGAAAAAAAAAAAAACAATGAAATTAAGTTCCCGGGTCCGCCATCTTCGACGCGCAGTCGCCCGCGCCGGCGCAGCAGCCGGTGCACGCGTGAGAAACTCTCCTCGAACGGATGTCCCCGTTGAATAAAGACATCATGGTGTCCAATCTCGCTCGCAGGACGTCTTCATCTCGGGCGGGGTCTGCAGATGCCCCGCGGCCCCTCGTCCGCATCGGGCGGCAAATAACAGCGCTCAGGGTCGCCATCGCGTGCTGCTGGTCACTCGGGTCTGGCTCTCCAAGAACGAAGCCTCCCTCCATGAGATCGGCTGTGATCTTCCTCTCGATGGCGCGCAGGAGCTTGTTCAGACGAGGAGTGTATCGGAAACAGAATGCTGTGTTGTAAATGGCAGGAATGATCTTGGCGTGTCCGAAAGTCAGCACCACCGATCGGTTCAGGACGTGGCTGAAGCACACCGTCATTAGCAGAAGCAAGAGACCCCTTCCCTCCCTGCGCGCCCTCGAGTTGCACTCCACCACCTTGGACAACATCCACGCAAACAATCGAATATTACTCATTGCGCCATCGGCGCCCAGGACGAGGATAATGAAATTGACGACCTCCGTTAACTCCACGGCTCGCCCCAAGTTAAAATCTGACCGATCCAGCGCAGAGTACGTGACGGACGCGGAGGTGCTCGCAAGAATGAATGGTGGATAGATGACCTGCTCGTGTCTGCTGACTCGATCTCCTGGGCGGCCAAAAGCGCTTCCGTCCTCCTCCCAGCTGAGGGTGAGCGTTCGGGCGAGGAGCTCGAGAAGACCATTCCTACACTTCATGCCCTTCTTGACTGCCGCCGAGTGGTCAAGATACTGCAGGTTTCCCTCGGCGTCCCTCAGCATGTATCGAGCGATGTCCGTCAGCATGTTGGCCCACCGACCAAACTCGAGGTTCCTCGGAGTGGCGCCCCAGCGGTGCACCGCGACGAGCAGGTTCGTGGAACGAGCCCTCGACGCAAGACCGCGCAGAAATGCCTGGATCCAAGGCCGAGCTTCAGGCGACAATCCGATCGACCCCGCGGCCGCGTAGAGCCATCGGTGGGACCCCGAACCAGAAGCGCCGGGCAACCGGGACAGACGATCTGGCCTGGATCGCGAGAGCAGTCGGAATGGACAAGCTCAACGAACGGTCTCATACGCCGAGGGGGCGGGGCACGCGGGCTACGAGGCCGATCGGAGCGACCCCCTTGGAAACGCGGCGATGCGACGACGTGGAACGGGAGGTGGAGGGTAGCAGTTGAGGAAAAAAGGGATGGGCCTGAACCTGCATGCTCTGGGCGAACAATCCAGCATGCGCCGCTGCCCCCATCATGGACAAGAGGTTCGAGGACGGCCGCATGTGGTGGCAGCTGTTGGAGCCGATGCGCTCCAGAGCGAACTTGACCACCGCGCTGTGCGACCACGTGTTGGGGCGCACCTCGCGGGCGGACAAACGGCGGGCTCGCTGACGAAGCCGCCGCGCTCGAGCGCCACTCTCAATCGACGGCCGAGCCCGGCCGTGGCGACGAGGGGGGGGCGCGCGGCTCGAACCCAGCCGTGGCGACGAGAGCAGCGACCTCGGCACTGCCCACCGAAACGTGCCGCCCCCCTTGTCATTGTCCCCCATGAACATTCAGCTCGTCTGCGACCCGATCTCCGAGGTGCAAGCGGGTGTCGCTGAAGGCTCCAGCGAGTGCGCGGTGCCTCTCTGGCTCCACGAACTCCCTCCTCGCAGCGCGCCCGACCGCCCTCCTGCGAGGGGGCGCGGGGGGGGGGGGGGGTCGCGCGCGAAAGGGGGCGCGGAAAGGGGGTGGCGCGACGCGGGATGCCCCCCATGGGCCCATGGCTCACGACACTCCTCGCGAGACTGCGCGGCACTCCCCATGGGCGCAGGGGCAAGCCGTTCCGAGCATCCAACATAAACTTTGGCCCAAACAAATTTTACGTAGCACCCTTGAATGTCCGACGCGGGCCACCAACATACCGCATGTTACATGCGGTACGTTGGCGGCCCACGTCGGACACTCAGGCGCGGCGTCCTAGCGTGGGCGGGCAAGGTGTCCAACACCGCGTCCCAGGATCTGTAGCGCTTGCGATGCCAGGCGCCAGCAGCTGCCTCGGCCCCCTCGCCCTCGACGTCGGGCAGCACCTCTGGGGCGCCGAACTGCCCGGCGCGGGGCCCGAGCAGAGGGGGTCGGGGGGCCGCGCCGCGCCGCCGACGCATCGCCGATGCATCGCCGATGCGTCGGCGAAGTCGGCGATGCATCTTCGCCAGCAGCGTCGAGAAGCTCGGGCTCCACATCGAGCCGAGCCGCCGACGCGTCGGCGCTGCGGCGAGATCCACGACCCATCTACTCGTGCCCCTTTTCCCAAGGGGGCCAAGGGGAAAACGCGCGACCTCTGGGGTCTGGTCTGCTGGGCCCCAGCAAACCTCCAAATCGCTGTCCGAAACCGCGAGCCCCTCGACGCAGGCGGCCTCCCCGAAGATCGGGTCGCGCGAAGGGGGGGGGGGCGGGGATGGGTGATCGGCACATCAGCTCGCATCATCTCGCAAAGCGCCCACCGACGCCTGAGGCGCTAATTCATCGAGGAAAATTGCCGGCGACGGGGCCGAATCCAGCTGCGTGCCCGCAACCTCCCTTCGCCCGACCCGAGATGTCGTCACCCGCCGACGAGCCCAAGCTCAGCCCGCCGCGGCCCGCCGACGAGCCTAGGCTCAGGCCGCCCAAGCTCGCGGCGTCATCGCCGTCGCCGTCCGGCGGGGGGGCCGGCCCTGCGTCCATGGACCAAATCCATGGACGGTTGGGCCGAAACCCACGGGTGAGCGAAGCGGTCCGCCCCGAGCTCCCCCCCTCTCTCCTTCGCCCTCCTCTTCCTCCCCCTTCCTCCTCCTTCCCCCCCCGTTCCTCCTCCGCCATCCTGGGCCATCCTCCACCCACCCCCCCTCCTTTCCTCGTGCACCCCCTCCTCCACGCCTTCTTCGCCCCCCTCGTCCTCCTCGCCCCTCCCTGTTGCTCGCCCGAGTGCTGTTTGGGGGGCGCACAAAAAACAGGCATACTCACACTCACACTTTACACACTCACACTCACACTTGTTCGGTTAAATTGATATAGTGTTATTGTTGTTATAGTTGTCCGTAATAGTAGGTAACTGTTGTTATACTAGTTGTTACGCTTGTTCGTAATAGTTGTTCACGGCATTCGTTGTTCGTAGTAGTTGATACAGTTGTTCTCCCAACTCTAATTGTTGTATTGATTGTTTGCAATAGTTGTTGAAGTTGTTCTAATAATTGCGCTAATCGTTGTTTCAGTTGTCTTGGGGGCGGTTCATGGGCCAAGGAGACCGATCAGTGTATGTGTCGGAGGTTAGGGGGTGAGATCGCAGTGGAACGGAGACGCCCAACCGGGAGATCGTTTCGTTTCGTTCGTGTCGTGCGTGCGGGCGAGGCGAAGCTGCGTGGGCGCGCGAGAGGAATGAACCCGCCGTTGCTAGGGCGAAGTCAAGACATATGATTCTCCTCCGCCCGCCCGTCCGGCGGTGGCCCCGTGGTGTCCCGTGGTGTCCCGTGGTGTCCGCCGTTGCAAGGGCAAAAGCAAGACAAATGATAATCCCCCGCCGCCCGTCCGGCGGTGGCTCGCGGTGTCCCGTGGTGTCTGGTGGTGTCAGCCGCTGCTAGGGCGAAGTCAAGACAAATGATTATCCCCAGCCCGCCCGTCCGTCCGCCCGTCCTGCCGTGGCTCGCGGTGTCTCGCGGTGTCCCGTTGAATGAGATCGATAGTGAGATCGACAATGAGATCGATATTGAGATCGATGTGGTGCCCCTGGGTGTCCCGGTTTTGTCCCAAAACAGAAATCGATAATGATATCGATTGTGAGATCGACAGGTGTCCCGTGGTGCCCCGTTGAGTTAGATCGATCGTGAAATCAATGCTGAAATCGATGTGGTGCCCCGAGGTGTCCCGCGGTGTCCCAAAAAGTGAAATCGATAATGAGATCGATAATGATATCGACAGGTGTACCGTGGTGTCCCGTGGTGTCCCGTTGAATGAGATCGATAATAAAATCGATCGTGAGATCGATAGTGAGATCCCGAGGTGTCCCGAGGTGTCCCGATGAGTGAGATCGATAGTGAGATCGATAATGAGACCGATAATGAGACCGAGAGGTGTCCCGCGATGTCCCGTGGTGTCCCATGGTGGCCCGTGGTGTCCCATTGAGTGATATCGATAGTGAGATCGATAGTGAGATTGACAAGTGTCCCGTGGTGTCCCGTTGAGTGAGATCGATAGTGATATCGATTGAGTCAGATGTTGGTTCCCCCTCTCCCCCCACACACATAACCTCCTTATCACCGAGGGGTACTCGTTCGTATAGGTTTTTACATTTGCGTATTCCTATTCATATATTCTTATAGGGCCGGGGACCCCGGAAAGAGCGCAACCCCCCTGACCCCCCCCCAAAAACGAATTTCGAATCTTCGGGACTGTCTTGCGCCTTGGGTTTTCTCTGAGTTTCGAATATCCAAGTCCTCTTGGGCCAGCCTTAGGCCTCTTTGGGGCTCGTCTGCAACACATTTGGAGCCGTCCTGGGGCTACCTCAACGCCATGAGAACTGATCGTAAGCGAAAAGGCGAGGAGATCAAAAACATGGATTTCCCAATGGGTTTCATTGAATTTCAATATTTTTAAACTTCTTCGGCCATCCTTGGGCATCTGTGACCCTCGGTTTGCGCCTCTCTGGAGACATCGTGGTGGTATCTTGACGCCTCCCGAACCGACCGGAAACGAAAAGGCGAGAAGACCGAAAACATTGTTTTTTTCCCCATGGGTTTCTTTAATTGATGTTCGAACCTCCAGGCCCTCTAGGACCAGTCTGTGCCCTCTTTTGGGCTCGTCTGGGGGCTCATTTGGAGCCGTCCTGGGCCTATGATGCCTCAAGAGCCAACCGGAAGCGACAAGGCGAGAAGACCATGAACATTGATTTTCAATGGATTATCACGGATATTCAATTATTTGGGCCCTCTTCGGCCAGCCTTGGGCCTCTGTGGGCCTCGGCTTACGCCTCTCTGGGGCCATCCTGGGGTCATCTTGACGCCTTTCGAGCCAAACGGAAGGGAAAAGCGAGAAGGCCGAACACATCGCTTTTCCAATGGGTGTTCTCTGAATTCCGACTCTCCAGGACCTGTTGAACCAGCATTGGGCCTCTTTGGGGCTCGTCTGGGGACTCATTTGGAGCCGTCGTGGGGCTATCTCGACGCCTCAAGATCCGATCGTAAGCGAAAAGGCGAGAAAGCCAAAAACATTGATTTTCCAATGGTTTTCATTGAATCTCAATTATCTGGGCCTTCTTGGGCCAGCCTTGGGCCTCTTTGGGGCTCGAAGCCGGCAGCCCAGCAGCGCGCATGACGAAAATACCATGATCTGTAGGAGGTGGAAGAGGGGGATGAGGAGGAGGAGGAGGAGGTAGAGGAAAAGGAGGAGGAGGAGGAGGAATTAGAGGACAAGGGGGAGAGAGGAGAAAGAGGATGAGGATGAGGAGGAGAAAGAGGATAATGAAAAGGGGGAGGAGGAAAAAGAGGAGGAGGATGCCCTGCTTCATGCTAGCCCAACCACTCGCCTGAGACAGATTTGCGCCTCTGGGCCCCGAAACGCCCTGAGATGGCCTCAGCTGGTGTTGTCCGGCCGCTCCCGCTCAGGAACTCTCCACCCATTCCGACTTGGCGGTGGCCCGCCCCATGTCCACGCGCACGTACGCCGCCTGCATTTGAAACTACAAGGAACAAGGTGAATGGCGCGAAGCGCCAATGCAGTCTTGTATATATATATATATATAAATGTATATATGTATATATATATATATACACATGTGTAGATATGCAAAATGCACATGCGTATGTACCTTCTATATACACTTCCATGCACATTCTATATATATGTATATATATATTACACATACACACACCGATTATCAATGTATCCTATGTGGCAAGGCTTCGGGTCGCGCGCACACAGCCCCCCCATTACGCAGTGCTGGCCTCAACAGGCCTCCGGAGTACTCCCTGGCTGGCCTCCACTCTGGGGCGCGGAGCGCCCCCAGGGTGCCGCTGGCGGCGGCGCCAGGATGCTGAGACCGGCCTGGGAGGCCCGCGGAGACTGCTCTTGGGGCCTTCTGAGTAAAGGGGCCCCAGGACACACAAATGCACACAAATAAAATTATTCACCATATTTTTCCATATTTTCTGGGTTTCTGTCTTCCCCCCCACTTCCCATATTTTCCCATATTTTCTGGGGAATCGAGGATTAATTGTGTCTGTGTGTTTCTTTTCCTCCTGACTGAGGCCAGCCGGGACTGCCCAGGGGGGTGGGGGTGGGCTGTCTGCACGCAACCCGAGGCCATAGCCAGCGATTCTCGTCGGCGCTGCGAAGAAAAGGGGTCCCGGGGGATGGGGTCCCACGGACCAATGTTAACCAACCCTTGGGTCCCTTCCTACCCCAAACTCCAATCCCTCAAAACCCAATCGTTGAACCACCGATTCTTGTTTGTTCAATCCTCGACCCACGACCCTCGAACCGTGACCCTCGAACCTCGAACCTCGATCCTCGAACGAACCTCGATCCTCGACCTGCGAACCCCGATCCCCGACCCTCGAACCTCGACCCTCAATCCTCAGCCCTCGAGCCCACATCCTCGCCACCCGAACCCCCGATCCACGACCCTCGAGCCCCGATCCTGGAACCTCGAATCTCGATCCCGGACTCTCGGCCCTCGCCCCTCGACCCTCGACACTCGGCCCTCGAACCCTCGATCCTCGAACCCTCGATCCTCGAACCCTCGAAGCCTCGATCCCCAGTCCTCGCGCACGGACCCTCGACCCTAGGCTCTCGAACCACCTGTTTCCTCGACCCTCGGCCCTCGAACCTGGATCCTGTCGGGTCGGGCGAAAGGGGGGGATAGCAAAGGGGGGGTTTGAGAATCAGCTCACGTAGCTGATTTTCCCGGCGCCTCCCTGCGCCGGGAGCGCCCATGTATCGAGGAATGAGCCCCTCGGCGAGGCCGAAATCAGCTACATGCAGCAAATTTCGTAACCCCCCCTTTCCCAATCCCCCCCTTTCGTCCGGCCCGACTCGAGCCCTCGAGCCCTCGAGCCCTCGGACCCTCGGAGCCCTCGGACCCTCCTGTCTGCTCGGCCCTCGGCCCTCGACCCCGGGGGCCGAGAGGATCGAGCGAACGGGAGGCTCGAGGGTCGAGGGCTCGAGGGCTCTCGGGGGCTCGAGGGCTCGAGGGCTCGGGGCTTCGAGGGTTCGAGGGATCCAGGGGTCGAGGGTTCGAGGGATCGAGGGGTCGAGGGTTCGAGGATCGAGGGTTCGAGGGATCCAGGGGTCGAGGGTTCGAGGGTTCGAGGGATCGAGGGGTCCAGGGGGCAAGTGCCGAGGGCCCGCGGGTTCGAGAGCTCGAGGATTCGAGGGCTCGAGGATTCGAGGGCTCGAGGGCTCGGGGGTTCGGGGGCTCGAGGGTTCGGGGGTTCGAGGGTCCGAGGGATCCAGGGCCCGAGGGTCCGACGACCCTGCTGCCCGACCTGGCCGTCGGCCGATCGAACGCCGGGCAGGGCGGCGGCGGCGCTCCTTCTGCAGCTGGGCCACCGCGCCGCGCAGCAGCCCCTCCGCCTCCCTCCGCCTCGAGTGGCCGCGCTCGGGGGGGGGGGCCAGCTCGGGGGGGGGGCACCTTCGATTGCGAAGGCCTTACGAAGACGAAACCAGGACGAGGATAAAGGCGGGTGAGGATAAAAAGGCTATTCTCCGAGATCCGGCGGCTCTGGAGGATGTCTCGGGCGCTGAGAGCATTCCGGGGCGGCTCCTCCGATTGTAAAGGCCGTACAGTCAACCCGTATAGCAAGGATGCGCGGTAAGAATACGAGGTCCTTGGGCGTCCATGCCGAGGCTCTTCGAAGCGGTGCTGGCCATCGAAAGTGGTTGAGGATGGACCGGATATGACCGAAGAGGTAAGGATGCAATGGCACCCTTGGGCAATTGATCATCCATTATATCAACGTTGACTGTACGGCCAATGCCGCCGACCCTGTATGCGAGGAGGACCGGGAGATGGAACAGGTGGACGAGGAAAGTGGGGAGAGCCTCTTGGATCTTCCAGAGCCTCTTGGTGGTCCTTTGGAAGCCTCCTAAGGGCCTCTTGGATCTTCCTGGGGCCTCCAGGGGCCTCTTGGAACCTCTTGGGGCCTCCTGGGAGGCTCTGTGGCCGAAAACTCCAAAACTCACCTGCGTGGGCGCGTTCTGTGAGCCGTCTTGGTGGCCTGTTGGGCCGTCTTGGAGATCTCTTGGGCTGTCTGAGGACCTTCTTGGGTCGATTCGAGGCCCTCTTTGAGACTTCTGGGGCTATCATAGGGCGATCTTGGGGTGATCGTGGAGGTCTTTTGGGCCGTCTTGGAGCGTCGGGAAGCTGAGAAGGCGACAGCAGTAAATTGGTTCAACAAGAAAGGACATGTATGATTTACCACATCTTGGGATTATTTTTTCGGAGTGTTCTTGGAGGCTTGGTGAAGCGTCTGGGCGGTGTCTTGGACCGAATGGAGGCTATCTTTGGCGTGTGTTCGCGGCCTTCTTGAGACGTCTAGGAGGCCTCTAGGCCGTGTTGATTTTTTTTACCCCAGGGTCTCCCGGGGGGAATGGCATGTCACCCACAATTCCCCGCCGGACCACCCCCCTGAGACCCCCCCCTATCGACCTCCGCCTCCTCCTCCTCCCAGGCATCCACCCTTGTACCCCACCTGGGTAACCCCCTCGTCGGACCCCTCCCCCACCCCGGCGGGGAAGGGATCAGATCCCTTCGCCTCAACGCACGACGTTGCTCACCTTCAGCTTCGCGCTGGCTGGCCCGAGGGCCCCGGGAAACGGGGGGAGCGGCGACGGCGACGACGACGATGACGAGGGGGAGCGGCGACGGCCGCGGCGACGACCACGGCGACGGCCACGGCTACGGCGACGAAGACGACGACGACGACGACGACGACGACGACGACGACGACGACGACGACGACGACGACGACGACGGCGACGACTTCGACGACAAACGAGAAACCGTCTTCCACACGCTGGCAGGGTCGGCGGATCTGAGGGCTCCGGATGGTTTAGTCGGTTCTCGGCGGTTTCCCGGCCCCGGGGTGCGTTTTGGTAGCTGCGCGCCGGGCGCCCCGGAGCAGAGTTGCGACCCGAAATCCAGACGACGTGGACCACTGCGGGATGCAGGCTCAGGGCTCAGGGATAATATCGAGCAGGAATCGGTGATGCATCGCCGAAACGTCAGTCACGGGTCCCCGATAGCGAATCCGCACGCTCCTGAACGGGGTGGGGCTATCGGGCCACTGTCGGCGACGACTGGGCAATTGGATGTCGATGCAACCCCCCCCTGAACCCCGAGCCTAAACCTAGCCCCTGGCGGTCCGCGTCGTCTGGCTTTCGGGTCGTAACTCTGTTCCGAAGCGCCCGGTGCGCAGCTACCAAGACGCACCCCATGGACAGCCTGGGAACCCAGGAAAAAAACATCACATACAAATGTGCGAAAAATGCTGCGGAATACATGAAAAGATGTTCCCGATGCGCAAGTACGAAGAAACCGCTCGCTGGAGCTGGATTAGCGCAGCGGCGCGCGGCAACCCCGCCAAATCTGCGCATCTCCGACGCCGCGTCTGCGACGGCGGCGGCGGCGGCGACGCGGCGGGAGGCAGACGGGGGGGCAGAAGCAGCAGCGCAACCGCTGACAGGAACGACGGCGCCGGGAAAACGACGACGGGGCCGATGAAACCCGCGCGCGAGGAGAAGGAGAGGGGGCGGGTGCGCGGTATCGCCTGGAAAATAACACTGGGCGAAGAGGGGGCGCAGAGGACGAAAGGGGGACGACTGGAACTTGAATGGGGGCGGCGGCTACAACAGCCTCGACGGGGCCGCTGAGAACGGGCCCTTGGGGCGAGGGGGACTGGGTGATGAGGTAGAGAAAAGCCAGCGGAGGCGGGCCCGGGCCGCGCGAAACTACAGGCCGACCCGCCACTGCAAAAGACACCGGGCCACCCAACACTCCTGCGATCCAAACTCTCATAGGTTCACTGTACCATCATCGCGCGAACGCCGATGGCAAAACGTCCTGCGCGCCCCCGCGCACCGACGACGTCCAGAGCACGCCGCCGCGGCCGGCGCGGCTGCCGCCGCTGCGACTTGCGAATGCGCCAGCAAAAACGCCCCCAGACTGCCGCCGACGACGCGGACCTCCGTGCTCCTCGCGCCCATTCTCCCCCCCCCTCTCCCTCCCAAGCCCCTCCTCCCCCTCCGATCGCCCCCCCCCCCCCCCCCCTCGCGCGCTCTTCATCCTGCCCGCCGCCCTCTCAAATTAACCCGCTTGTTCTCCCTGGCCGTCTGCGCCGCGACCCCCCGCGGCGACCCCGGTCCACGGCGCCGCTCGCATCCTGCCCAGCCCGCGCCGATTGCGCCAGCGCCCCGGGCAGCAAATTCGAAGGCCCCCATAATTGCTGTCAGATGGCCACCGCGACCCAGGCCGGCGAACGATACCCCCAGGCTCCGCACCAAACGCTGGCAAAATCGCCGCGGGGCCTCGATCGGCGCGGCCCCGGGGCGGCCGCAATGTGCAAAGGTGCGTTCGAAGCACCCTAATCGAACTGCCCAAAAAATGCCCCCAAAAATGGGCCCTGCATGCGCAATCCCTGGGAGATTCGGTGCGCCCATTTGAAATAAGTAGAAATTAAGCGGCCGACATAGGCGAGACGCCCGCCGACTCCGCGCGCACATGTTTCGTATATTGTTTGTGCATGTTTTGCAGATTTTGCTGCACCGAACTAATAGTAAGTAATCGGTGTGCGTTGCAAAAATGCATGAATAATAGGTGGTCGGGGGCGGCGCCTTTTGTTCGCAGAGAATGCACAATGCACGCGCGAAGAAATAGGCCCGCCCCGATCGGTGAAATTGCGAGAAAAAACGCAAAACGACTTGTTCCCCGGGGCGGCCAGCGGGGGCGAGGTGGAATAGCGCGACGCCCCAGGGAGGCCCGCGACGGGATGCGGCTGCCACATGGGACCTTGTCCCCCCCCCCTGCCCCATGCACCCTTGGGATGAGAGCCCGGCCGCCTCCCAGCGCTAGGCGGGCGGGGGGGGCGGGCGGGGGCGCAGCGCCAGGCGAGGGGCGCGGCCGCGCGGCTCAACAGCTGACGTCTGCGCCGCGCCACCCCCCGCGGCAATGTACCCAAGAAAGTTTCGCCGACATGGAGCGGTGCCTCAAGGGCAATGACCCTGCGAAAACATGCCGCGGCCCCGAAGGGGGCTCCAGCCGTCGCCCCTGATGGGTGACCCACCGAAGCCCCCAACAGCGGCGGCCGCGCGCGGTGTTCGCAGGCCCCTCAAGCATTTGCCCAACCGAAAGCCGCAATGGCAGAGGCTGCGCGCCCTTGCACACCCCATCGCACGCTTCGTGGCCCCACAAGCGATTCCGTCGAGGCCGCGGTAGCAGAGGCCGCGCGCGGCAGTTGCACTCCCCGGGCACCATCAAAAGGCCCCAGCGGCATCGGCCGCGCGCGCTGCACTTGCGCACCCCTCGCGCGTTCGATGGCCCGAAGAAAGAAACCCACCACAAAAGTCCCAGCGTCAGCGGCCGCGCGCGTACCTGGGCACCGCTCGCGCGCGTCGTGGCCCCACGGGGGCCTCCACCGAAGGCCCCAGAGGCGGCGGCCGCGCGCGGCACCTGCATTACCCTCGCGCAGTTCGCGGCTCGACGGGGGACCCCGCCGAAGGCCCTAGCGGCAGCGGCTGGGCGCGGCATATTTGCGCAACTGTCACGCGTGCCGTGGCCCCGAAGGAAGCTCAGCTGAAAACCCCGACCCCGCTGGCACCGCTCGCGCGGCGGCCCTGGCTCATGTCGGCGCGCCCCTGTCACGCGCCCCCTGGCCCCCAAAGAAATTCCACCAAAAACTATGATCAGAACTGCAGATGGGCGGGCCCTTCGCCAATAATTTGTTGGACGCGCGCGGGCGACGCCAAGCCCCGCGCCGCGCCAATTCATGGCGCGTCCCCGCGGCGAGAGACCCCAAAACCGAACCGTGGAAGCCGATCCCGCGCCCCGCTGCAGGACGCATGATCACCCTGAGTTGCCATGACAATCAGCTTCCCCAGCAAGGCACTCCCTGCGCGCCGCAAACACCGTTTGCGCTTGAGCGCTTACACATTGTAGCATAATGTCCTGCAACTTACACATGTCGAATATATGTTGTTGTTTACCTATTTCCGTATTCTATTTTACGGCTACTTTGAAATGATTCAACATACCAGCACCTCTCCATATTACCTTCGTTCTGAAACTCGGCTCTCCAGCGGCTGGTCGCGACGCTCTGGCCACCCCCAGAACACCAGCGGCGAGACGCAGCTGTTGGAACGCACCCCGAGGCCGACAAACCGCCAAGAACCTCGAATCTCGAAGTTGCTCCCCCGAGTTGGTCCCGGCTTAATCGGTAACCCCGAAGCCTGCCCAGCGCCTGCATGGCGCCGGCCAGGTCGACCATCGTCCGGAGGACCTCGTCGGCGCGCGCGGCTGGAATCCCCTCACGCTGACATGGATAAAGGAACCCTGGTTCTGGCGAGTGGCAGGAGAGCCAAGAACCGAATCGATGTCGGATCGGTGACCGAAATGAATCGGATAGGCAGGAATCGGCAGCCAAGTCGGGAGAAATCGAAACGGCGGAGATCGACAGGCTAGTAAGGCCTCCATTGAGGAATCGAGATTCAAATCGGACTCCGAGGTCGAATCGAATCGGAATCGATCCAAATCGCATCGAATCGACTTCAGAGAACTCCTGAGATCCGAGGCTCCGACAAAGATTGGAACGTCGGGATGTTGGCTATATGTTCGGCCCCGGGGGAACCGCAACGGGCCCCAGGACCGTCAAACACGACTCGGGATTAAAAACCAACCGGCCCTGGGTGGTCCAGACCTCTAGGGCCCCAACCATCGAAAGAGTCGGAGCAGCGGGTGTCTTGCTTGGGCCCACGCATCGGGGAACGTAGCCCTCGAAGCATGGCTCCAGTTCCGCCTGATGTAGCGAAGGAGAGCGCCACGCCCCAGGAAATTACATACTACACCCCGCAGCCATGGGGTGTGGGCGACGAACCTGGTCGCGGGCTTGGTTTACAAATTTCCTCCCTGGGGCGTGGCTTCTTGTTGCATTCTGGCCCTGGGCGGTGGAATCTTGGTGCACAGCGAGAATCTGGCGGAGATTTGGCATGGAAGCGGGACCCGTCGCTAATTCATGCGCTCGATCTATGTTTGCGCTGCCTCCAGTCCATCGGACAGGACACACGTTCGCATGGATCAGCATCTGGGAAGCAACTCCCGAAAGGTAGGGCCAGCGCCGCCCGACTTGGCGACGCCGCGCGCAGATTCTGCCAGGAGCTGGACCCGTTGATGATCCACGCGCCTCAATGGAGGGACAACGATCGGGGGGGACTGACACAGGGGGGCACATGAACCTCGCATCGGCGACACGTCGCCGAGAAATCGGCGACGGGCTCCCGATAGCGAACCCGCACCTTTCTGAGCGGGGTGGGGCTATCGGGCCCCCCCACGCTTGCCATCGCTCGGACGTCCATGTCCCGTGCATGTTTCGGTTTCGTGCGTGTGTTTTTTGCTCGATGGTCCAGGATGGTCGTCGATGGTTCTCGCCGAAAAACAAATGCACACGTCCGACCGATGCCACGCCCGTGGTCGACGAATGGTCGAGGTTTCCGTTGGCCCTCGGCGGCTTTTCCAGCCTCGGGGCGCATTTCCGCCAGCAGCTGCGCCTCGCCGCTGGCGGAGCGGCCGGGGCGTCCCGGCCGGCCCGACTGTAGAGCCGAGCTGCGACCAGGAAGACCGGACGACGAGAACCACCAGGGGATAGCGGCAGTCGGCGGTGGGCCCCCGACCTCCCGACCACTTCCCTGGGACCGGTTTTTCATCCCGAGTCGTTTTTTGACGGTCCCGAGGCCCGGCGAAGGCCCCGAGAGGCCGAGCGAAGATCGAACTTCGAGGTGCCAGGTTCGAGGCGTTTGGGGGTCCCCGCGCCCCCCTTTTGTGCCTATTCCCCGACCCTCCTTTCCCCCGGTCGATCCTCGTCTGCGCTGCCTCGGGTGCTGCGGGTGCTGCTCCCTCTCCCCTGCGTCCGCGGGCCCCCCCTCCTCGACGCTCCACGGCGTGGGCAGCGGAGATCACTTCCTGACGCACCCATCCACCTCCTCTTTCCCCCTTCCCGCCTCCTCCTCCTCCTCCTCCTTCTCCTCCTTCTCCTCCTCCTCCTTTTCCTCCTTCGCCTCCCCTCCCCCTTCCCTCCTCCTCCTCCTCCTTCTCCTCCTCCTCTTCCCCTTTCACGGAAGCTGCTACTCCGTAGCAGGCAAGCGGTTTATCCATCGGCACCCATTTCGCGCGGCCTTCACAGTGGGAGGTGGGCCCCCACACTCGCCTCCAATTCTGTGGTGTATGCCATGCCGTGGGCCTGGACGCATGATGCCCGCCCGCCCTGGCGCCGCGCTGACCCCCAGTCTCGCCGTGATGCTGGTCGCCGTGGTCGTATGCGCCTGGGTGGCGATGGAGCTGGTACCGCGCCCTACGCCGTGTGCAGCGACTGTGGGCATTGGGAGTACCTCTCGCGCGGGCATGCCGCCCGCAGCCAAGTGCCCCGCTCCCTACCTCGACTTCAGCAAGAAGCAAGGTGGCCACTAGCGAGACGACTGCGGCGGTCGGCTCGCTGGACCTTGGTATACCTGGACGAGGCAGTGCTGCGGTGGCCCAGTTCCCTGGGCTCCGTGAACTCCTCGCCAACCACCTGCCGCCCCCGCCGCCGCCCCTCGTCTCGACTGGTGGCCAGTTGGATGCCGCCGTGGCGGGCGAGCGCCTCGCTCTGGCGAAGCAGGCGGAGGGGGCCGCCAAGGCGGAGCGCCTGGCGTGGCAGGGGCGGTCTGAACACCAAGATGCTCTCCACAGGGCCCTTGAGGAGGTCAAGCAGCTGGAGTCCGCCTTCGCCGAGGCATCGGCCCAGCTCGCGAGGGCTCAGGCTGCCCACGCGGCTGCCAAGGAGAAGCAGGACTCTTTCAACGAGGACACCTACAAGCAGGAGAAGAAGAATGCAGCAGCTGCTGCGGAAGCGCGGGCTGCTGCGCAACCTCCCGCCGCTCGCGCGGCCCCCGCGCCTCGGCCCCTGGCGCTGGCGCTGGTGATGGTGGCGGATCGTATGCTGGTGCTGCTGCGGTGCCTGGTGCGCTCGCTCCCGCTGGTGCCCCCGCGCCTGCCGCTGCGGACCCTGGCGCGGGCGTTGGTTCTGGTGGCGGGTCGCCTGCTGGTGCCGTTGCGGTGCCTGGTGCGCCCGTTCCCGCTGGCGTGGATCGTGACGTACTTGGTAAACTTCGCACGCTTTCTGATGATGCATTTCGGAAGCTCGCTGGTACGACCAGAGTCTCCAACGACGATTTGTGTAATCTTCGGACTGCTCAGAAAGCTGCTCATAATGTTCTGCGGGCTGCTGACCTTTCGCGTGCTCCTCCTCGCACCGCTGATGAGCATGGCGCTGCCCGTGCTCCTGATGCACCCATGCCAGGAGGTGATGAGGCTGCGGCGCTCGTACCCGACCCAGATGGATGGTGAGGACATGGAGGAACCTGAGCGGAAAGAACCGAATGAGCTTCGCAAGCGCTCTGCCGACAATGCACCGCCTGTCGGCCTGGAAAGGTGAAGCCCTTTTGGTCAAGAAAATGCGTTCTCAGGCGTGTAAGAAGCTCAAGGTGGTTTCCTATGCGACTGATATGTGGGCAAGCGCTTTCGCCCATCTGGCAGGCTCCCAACCTGCGCCAGGCGCGCCCCTGGTTTGACGAGGCTCTAGGGCAAGGGCAGAGGTTGCACATCGAGATCTGCAACGTGTCCAGCTGGTCTGGATTAGCCAAGTCTGAGCTTGCTCACGCGGTTGAGAACGTTGACGCGCACCTCCTTGCCGAGCTGAAGGCTGCGAAGGAGGATTGCTATTCCATGGGACGGCGTCCGCACTTCCAAGCCGCCCTTCCATCGCCAGGTGGGGGCTGGCATGGCGGCGTTGGAATTGTCGCACAGATGGGGATATACTGCAAACGTTTCCTCCGTGCTCTGCCTGCTGGAGTTGAGAACGCGTCAAGGACAAGGATGGCTCTTCTTGGAGATGAAGACTCAACAATGTACTCCGGCGCTTAGGGTTATCCACTTGGTCTCGGGAGTTGGTGCTTCTGGGGTCAACCTGAACGCCTGCGTGACGCGGTGCAGTTTCTTGGGATGTTGGAGTGCCCCTGGATGCTCCTAGGTGACTTCAATATCGCGCCCATTGAGCTCCACCAAGTTTTGTTTGGTTTGTTTGCGAGGTTGTCTCGGGCGCTGTAGTTGATCCCCGCAATGCTCATTTCACACGCGACAAAGACGATGGACGCCTGATTGACTAGGCCGTCGTCTCGCGCGACCTCCGCCAGCATGTGGCAATAGACGATTGGACACCGGCTTTTAAGACACACGCCTGCTCGCAGGTGCAATTGCCGCTCGACGTGCTCAGCAACGCGCTCATGAAACGCGATCGACCCCACCCCATTGTTGCCCACCATGGGCCAAATGAGCAACGGCATGCTTTCCGCGACCGCGCTGGTGAGCAAGTCGCGCGCGCACCACCCGAAATTCGCAGTGCCTTCCTCGGGTTCCATAGGCCACGGAGCCAACCGGGACTGTCGGACGAATGTCAGCGACGGTCGACTGCGGCTGAACTTCTGTCCTGCTCTCGCGCGCCACAACCGTGGCGTGAGCCAGGAAAGCATCATGGTCGAGCGGTAGTCCTGCAGCAGAAGACCCTCGTCAAACGTGGAGTGGTGAAACAAGGTTCTCGCGCTCTTGTCTGGCTTCTTGGGCGCTGATCTCGCCCCTACTGTGCGATTGCGGTTGCTTGAAAGCGTGGAGGCTCCACCCAGGTCGCCTCGCTCAGGACTCTCCTGCGTGAGCGCGGTGGCGGGGTGGCTCGACGCCTAGAAGGCCTTGCTGATGCGCAGCAAACCTCTGTTTGGACCAGCACTGTCGGATCTGCCCTGCGATCCTCAGACGCTCGATATACTCCTGGGTGCCCTGGTCCCAATCCTTCGTCGCGCGTGGGCGCTGCTCGGAAAGCTAATCGCGATGGGGATCAAGGCCCGGCTGGCGCGTGGCCTGATTGGGGGGGCGAAAGCGACCCATCGTTGGTTGAGGGCCGATGCGGCGCATGGATATTGAAATGTTTGTTTCCCCCTCGATGGCGGCGCAGATCCCTCGGGACATGATGCCCCGCCGTGAGCAAATCTGGGCCGAGTGGTGGACCCCCTCCGTGAAACAAGTTGAAGATCTGGAGCGCGGCACGCGGCGCCTTGGGCCAGTGGCGGAGTTGGCCGCCCTGGAGGCTCGCAGCATCGAGGTTCAGGATGTCACAAGGGCCTGCAAGCGTCTGTCTGGTGACACTGCGCTTGGAGTGGATGCGCGGCCCCCTCGCACGCTGCTCCAGCTTCCCATTGA